TCACTGCCCCATGACGTCAGGCTCTCTATTCTCCTGGAGCCCCGCTGGCCTGGCTGGCACACCCACCTCTTTGGCATGATTGACGCAGTGCATGTACTGGCTGGCCAGGTCAGAGCACCTGAGGGTCTGGTGGGCGTTCTGGCGGTAGCACTGAAGAATCTTGGCCTGCAGGTCAGCACAGACTGGATGAGACTCATACCGCTTGAACTTTGCTTCCACCTCCTCAGCAGCTTTCTGATATTGCTCAGTGGTGACTTTGTAGAACTCTGAGCTCCTCTCCTCCAGTCTAGCCAGCTGCTCTTTGTAGAATGCATCCTGCTTCTTTAGCACTCGGTCTTTCTCTTCCAGCTGCTTAGCCAGGTGCTTTGCCTTAGCACGTTCTTCCTCACTTGATATCCTCTCTCGAAGGATAGCCCTGGTTAACTGCTCATTGGCAGCTGCCCACTCTCGGTCCACATCTTTGCCTTGCTTTAGTCGCTTCTGATTTTCAGCTTCTTTCTTGGCTTGCTCCAACGCCAGCTCCTCAGCTACTCTTCTTTTCAATTCTTCATCAGAAACTGAGGCACCATAAACACCAGAATACCGCGGAGACTTCGAACCAGATGGAGAGGATTCCTTCATTCGATCAATCACATTTTCCGAAAGCCGGATGCCCTTCACCATGGTAATGTTCTCATTCTCGTCCGCCTCAAAAGTGACCCGACGGGTGCTGGCAGTCCCGCCCATGGCTCCCGCTCCTGCCCCCGCAGAGACCTAGTGCGGACCTACGAGCGCCTCAGAGCCCACGCGCGAACTTAATATAATTCTTAATAGAATGATTTTTATCTGATTGCACTGAATAAAGTTATTCTATTACTTTAATTAATTTAATTCATCAATTAATGCTTCTGGGAAGTGACTAATTTTGTTTAGATCTATTATCTTGCATATTTGCTATTAAGCAAGAGTTTCTTTCTACAAACCAAAAGTGTACACCAGAGAGAGTAAACAGCTTTAGCTGAAACATTTCCTTATTCTTCTGAAGAAAACACCAAAGAGACCTTTCAAGAAGCCATATTTTATACCTCACTTTTCAGATACAAATCAGTAGTGTTTAGGAACTTCATCATCACTCTTGCCATAGCACCCATATAATAATCAGGATATTGTACTGGTTTTCAATTTGTGGTCAAGAGATCCCTGGTCCTCCCCCAACCCTTTCAGGGAGTCTGTGAGATTAAACTATTTTCCTACTAAGTTGTTAATTGCCTTTCTCCCTCTTCATTTTAGCAGCTGTTTATGAAAGTTGTATGTAAGATTACCTTATTCCTGCATCTTCTCAATTATTTCTTCCTTGCATTTGCCCCTTTCCTTTCCTACTTGGTGAGATTCCACTTTCTGTTCAAGGATCTTTTTATAGTCTTTGTCCAGTTTAAGGCTGGTGACAACCACGTGGCTGGGGGGGAATGCCCACATGGACAGTTGTACCACTAGCCTTTTCCTGCTGCACCCATTCAATGTCGATGGCCTATTTCTTCCTGTAAACCCAGACTACTTTGCCAATTTGCTGATGTTTCTAGTGTCCCTGAACAACCTGAAATTCATCATCCTTTCAGATGGGCACAAATGGAACATTGTACTTCTGTCTCAGCTCTCTGGAAAGAGGGAAAGACATAATCTTTCTGCAAATATGGGAAGGTGCATTGAAATGCCTTTTGTGGTTCTTGCTTTGGTCAGAAGTCACAAAGGGATTGAACTTCATTTTGGCCACTGCTACTTTGGCAAAGGCTGAAAAAGTCTAATTGCCTTTTTAATTTTCATTCTTTCATGAGTTTCCCAAAGGCTACATGATGTATGCTGCCACAGCGGATTCGGTGCAGAAGTAGATATAGAAATCCAGCTGTCTTTTATTAG